CGGATCGGACACAGTGTCGATCGGACACAGTAGGAAACGGACACAGTGCGGATCGGACACAGTGCGAATCGGACACAGTGTCGATCGGACACAGTAGGAAACGGACACACGGTGGTTGCAATCGGACACAGTGCAGATCGGACACAGTGCGGATCGGACACAGTGTCGATCGGACACAGTGCGGATCGGACACAGTAGGAAACAGACACAGTGCGGATCGGACACAGTGCGGATCGGACACAGTGTCGATCGGACACAGTAGGAAACGGACACACGGTGGTTGCAATCGGACACAGTGCAGATTGGACACAAGGCGGATCGGACACAGTGTCGATCGGACACACGGTGGTTGCAATCGGACACAGTGCAGATCGGACACAATGCGGATCGGGCACAGTGTCGATCGGACACAGTAGCAATCGGACACAGTGCGGATCGGACACAGTGCGGATCGGACACAGTGCGGATCGGACACAGTGCTGATCGGACACAGTGGCGATAAGAAGTAATCTAATATATGTAAATCCTTTATTCAAGTAATCTATGTAACCCTTTATTCAATTATTCAATTAACTAAATTTTTACAATATGTGTTAAATTTTAGGTAAGTGTATTTATGTCACTTTGATACATTGATAATATAAACTTATTCCGTGACAGTTTTTCTAACCTCAATATAATATATATGTGATCAAATATGAGCGTGTGCGTGTGCGTGTGCGTGTGCGTGTGCGTGTGCGTGTGCGTGTGTGTGTGCGTGTGTGTGTGCGCGTGTGTGTGCGTGTGTGTGCGTGTGTGTGCGCGTGTGCGCGCGTGTGTGTGTGTGTGTGTGTGTGATTCGATTACAATGACTTTTATATAATTAGAGTAAACGATACAGTAATTGACAGCATAAGGTGATTGACACTGTTATATTTGTACCCATAATAGATGAACTGTTCATCGCGCGATTAATTGTAAGATACTGAAGACGACAGTTCTTTTTGATTACTTTACATAAGTACTTTATGATTCATTGTGCGAGTAGTTTGTCTTCTACGGTACAAATATGTCATGTAAGTGTCAATCACTGTACCCTTGTCAATTACTGTACCGTTTACTCTACATAATGCCTATCGAATTATTTAAACATAATTGCTGTCACATATAGTACTAGAGTTGTTTAGGTTTATTTACTATATGTTTCAGGTGCCAAGGAAGGACATGTCTTGTGGATCACTCGCAGTTCATAGAAGATTCAGTTTAGTTCAACAAAAGTCGATAAATCCATTTGCAAAATATGAGATTCTTTTAAGCGACGATTTATTTTTACTGTCTTCGCTACTAGAACCTTGTATAATGTTATGGAGTTTCTTCAAATTTATTGCAGCATAATTCCTTTAATGTTCATAAATTCTATAAAAAATTATAAATATTACGCTTATTCAGAATTAAATTACATAAAATAAAGTCCAAATGTTACAATGTGGACTATAATATTAACGGTGAAACCATATTTGCTATTTACATCTTTCTCCTGTCTCTAACATAGATTTAATACTTTCACACGCATAAGTATACGCACGTGCACGCACACACATGTAAACAGCAAAAATGATTTTATCGTTAACATTATGTGTAATATCAATATTATTAATATTTACGTTACGCATATAATATTAATATTATATGCATAATGTTTGCACTTTACTGTGTAATTTAATTCTAAAGCGTAGTTTAGAGCAATTTTATAGAGCGCGTGTGTGTATAAAACTAGATTAATCAATAATCAAATTATTAAATTTTTACACAATACTCGAATTGTATTGTAAGCAGGATTGAAAGTCAAAATACAAGTAATTTATTTACAAAACATAAGTAATTTGTTGGGAGAAGACTTTGAACGAGCAATAAGTTCCCGCCCTTCTAGAGGGCAGCCCCCGGTTGGCGGTGCGACTCGGCGCGCCACCCGTGCGTGCGGGCATCAGTGGTGCTCACAAGAGCCTCGATCACCGTCGTGTTCAGACGTGTCGATTACGGTTTAAGTTACAGAGTGTGATATACTTATATATAATAAAGACAGTATTCAGAGTGTACAAAGACCAAGATTGTTGTGTTCCCTGCTCATCTCACCACATTTCAAGTCGTCCCTGATTATATTTCCAATAGGTTATGGGCCCAGGGCACGATTCTTCTGCGTGAGGAACATAGCACGAAAGTGTATATACGAAGTGTGTGAAACGCCGGCGAAGGGCATAGAAAGAGATAGAAGCATCTAAAAGATTAGAGAGTGAGTAAATAATATTCCTCGTTGCTGACGAGCAAAACGAGAGAATTCTCAGTTAATAAGAATGTTCGTTCGATAAATACTGTTACAAGGAGATAGATGTTTTTGCCATTTTTCTCGAGAAATAGAAATAGAGGTAATAATGGTAATAAGAGAATTAGAGAATAGATGTGTAAAGTGTAATAAAGAAGTAGAGAATAATGAAGGAAAAAGAGATAGAAAAATGCCGCTTGGTAGCAAGTCGGCGACGTGCGCGTGCAAGTCCGATCGTGAACGGCGAGAGTCATTTCTTTTGGCGCGCGGAATTTTTGGCGCGCGGAAGTCCGATCGTAGACGGCGAGAGTCATTGTTTTTGGCGCGCAGAACTTGTTGCTGGGCGCGCACAAACACATAATCGATTTCGACTAACAACATGGCATCGATGCTAGATGGCTAGATTACGATACATGTAAATGTATGCGTATGCTAGATGGCTAGATTGCGATACATGTAAATGTATGCGTATGTATAAAAACTCTATATGACTCTATATGAGTTTATTTTTTTTGAAATCGATATGTATCGGGTCGGTAATTGAGCATGACTTGCTGTGCGGTGTAGCTTGATTACTGTTTAGGGAAGCCGCGTAAATTTGTATGGGCCCCGTGCGTGTGCGTGATCAACCCGAGCTCCCATAGATCTTTTCAGCAGTGCTGGGGATCGCAACGGACAGTGGTGTGTGCGTGCGGATAGCCCTGCAGAGGCGCGTGGTTTTCTCGCTTTGGGGTTATTGTGAATTGCAGTGCGTTCTATATAGCCTCATAAGCATTAAATTTTTATCGCTGAAAGAGATCTAGTGATAAAAATTGTAAATTATTATTTGTCAATACGAATGTTGGTTTATCTTGTCAAAAGAGGAATGCTAATGTTCAGTTGATATTTAAATCCCGATATAGATGGAAGAAGAAGAAGGCTAAGATGCGCTGGTCGACTACGACAGCGATAGCAGCTTTATCACGGTAATAGATAGAGAAGCAAAAGATAAAAACGACCAGACAGTAAGAAAAGATAGAGGTAAGAGAGTATTTTTTTTGAAAATAAAGTAGTCCAGAAGAATAATATATATATGCATTCAGAGAAAATAAAAATAGTAATTTCAAAATTCCGTATAGAAGCAAAAGACAAAAAGGAAACTGAAGCAAAGGGTGCAATCCCGAAACGCGGCAAACCAAAGATAATAGAAAACATAGATGTGAATAGAGAATGGGCTGAAAATCGTCCTGTACTACCTATAGGGACAAAGATACTTTACGAGAAACAAGAAAAGATGGTTGAGAAAATGGACAATTCGATGCAGATGCTGGATAAAGTAATGAAGAAGGCCACCGAGATGATGGAGAATATGGTGGAAGTCTCCCGTTTAAACTTAGAGAAAGAAAAAGTTAAACTTAGACGTTTAGAGGTAAGCAATACAGATACCCAAAGTTCAGTAGAAAACAGTAAACAAACGGTTAAAGAACTAGAGGTAGAGTCTAAAAAGAGAAAATTAAATGAAATAACAGTCTGTTCAGCCGAAAAAGATAGGAGTTTAGAGACAATGAAAAGAGCTATAGAATTGGAATTGAACAGTCAAAGGTTGCATATTAGAAGAGAATATAAGCTGACGCAAAAATCCAACTTTGATCTTTGGATGGATTATTTAAAATCTGAGTTAATGAATAACGAGTTGTTAGATGTAATAGATTCAAACATTGAAAGTCCAGAAAATCTCTCCGAACTAAAAGTTGCTAAGAGAAAAAGTCTTGTTAGAGATATAATAATCAATCATTTAGATGAAAACTATCATAAAAGGATTCTACATGAAAAAGATCCGAAAGAAATTTTGAAGAAATTGAGAGGATATAAAAAGAGTGAAGTAAACGTTACTCATGCATCGGTACGAGCTAAACTCTATCAAATTAAAATGAGAAAAGACGAAAAAGTAAGTGATTTTTGTGAACGCTTCGATTCAATAATTAGAGAATATGAATCATGTGAAGATGCGGTACCCCTCACAGAACAAGAGATTAGATCTGCACTTTATCAGGCTGTGTCAATTAATGTACCAGAGCTGAGGAATGTAGATTTAATTAGAAGACAAACTAATCTTAAAGAAATAAACATAGATGAAATAAAGTCTTTTATGATGCAGTTAGAAGCAGAGACTAAAAACGAGAATAAAGAAAAATTAGAGAAGCCCGAAGTCAGGGTACAGAGGGCTGCTGCAGAAGAGAACATGAAACAAGTGAAATGCTACAGATGCAACCGAATGGGTCATATGGCAAAGGACTGTCCACTAATAGAATTTGGTGCCTGGTTTTGTTGCTACTGCCAGGAAGTACGAGGTCACAAGGGTGATAATTGTCCGAGTGCCGAAGCCCAGGCGAACAGAGCTAGAGGAAAAAGGTATTTAAATAAAACCATTAATAAAAACATAAAGAAAAAGGGTAGATTTGTGCAAAAAGGCACAAAAAGAGTAGATAACAAAGGGAAAATAACCAAGATACAACCAGCTGAGAAACCTATATCAACGAAAACAGCAAATGAAGGAGAATCAGAAGAAGGTAAATAATACATGGTTAAATTAATAGAAGATAGAGATAGTTCAAAAGAGGTAGTCAATTTTACTGCAGATTCGGGTGCTACGGATCATATTGTGAATAAGAATTTTATTCTGTCAAAGTTTGAAAAATGTAAAGATAGAGTTATTAAATGCGCGAATAAAAATAAGCTTGCAAACATTTCAATAGATGGTAAAGGAAATCTTACGCTAATAATGAATGAAAAAGAAAAGAGAGTCATTAAATTAACAAATGTAATTGCAGCAAAGAAAGTATCCAAAAATTTACTATATCTAAGAAAGTTGGCTGATGCAGGGTTCAGTATTTATTTAGATGATAAAGTGTTTAAAGTTTACAATAAACTGACAAATAAAATAGTTTTTAAAGGAATTTACAGATGTAGAGCAAAAATAGTTCCACATAGTGAGCTTCCTGAACAATCGCAAGCAAACATTCAGACCAATGAATTATCAATTTCGGAGGGAGAGTTAAATGAGAGGGATAATGTTGGCTCTGCGATTGGGAGGGAGAATGAAGGAGAGCTCACAAATGTGAACAAAAATATAGAACACAATAATGCTGAACTCGATCAAGTCATTAAGTTAGAAAATATACAGACAATAGAGAATATAGAAGAAATGTGTGAAAGCTCAGTAATTGAAAAAGTAAAGAAACTAGAGAAAATAAATGAGGTGATGTTATGGCATGTTAGATTAGGTCATGCATCGTTAAAATATCTAAAACAATTACAAAAAGTAGAAAAGAGATTAGAGAATGTAAAGTTTGATAACTTTATATTAGAGTGTGAAGTATGTATAATGGCAAAGATGGCAAAACTGCCGTTTAAAGAAAACAGAAATAGAGCACAGAGACCACTACAGGTAATACATACGGACATCATAAGTCCAAAACCTACATCCTATCCAGGACAAAAGAGGTTTATAATCACTTTTATAGATGACTATTCTAGATTAGCAAAAACCTACTCTCTGAAAACAAAAGATGAATCGGGAGAGGCTCTAGAGAAATATCTTATATCCGCCAGAAATCTACTAGGAAAAGAAGAAAAGCTATGCTATGCAAAGTCAGATCAAGACAAAGAAGTTGCAGAAAGGTTCAACAGAACGTTGAAAGAGAAAGTAAGAACATATATGCTCGACTCGGGATTACTAAAGAGTATGTGGGAGTTGGCAGTTGACGCTGCTGTGCATGCGTACAACAGATTTCCACATAAGACTTTAGAGTATGAAATCCCGTTGAAGAAGTTTTCATCAGAAACAAGTTGTCATTTTAAACAAATAAAAAAAAATTCGGATGCATTGGATATGCAAGAGTACCAAAGCCTACGTCGAAATTCGACAAGACAGCTATTGGTGTGTTGGTGGGATATACTGACACTGGATATATACTATATACTCTGGTATCCAAGCACGAGAAAATTTATAGAGTCATGACAACAGAGCAGCAAGAAACTGCACTAAGATGGATAGAAGTCACAAACTTAAAATGTTTGATGACGACTTAGAAGAAATAAAGAAAGACTTAGAAGAAAAAGAAGAAACTGGAAACAGAAAACATATGGATAACACTCATGGAGATTTTATCAAGCAGTGTGTTTTAAGGGAAGGTAAAAGTCGAATGGATAAAGACCAAAGAGAATTTGGCAGACATTATGACAAAACCTTTACCTCTAGAAGCATTTGTGTATCTGAGAGATAAAATAATGAATATAGAGTTTAGACAAAGTTAGAGATTAATTTTAGTCGATAACTAATTCTTGTTATGTTTCAGATAAAGAGGAAACTTAGAGAGGATCCGTGGATCGCTCGCCCAAAGGGAGGGAGTGTTGGGAGAAGACTTTGAACGAGCAATAAGTTCCCGCCCTTCTAGAGGGCAGCCCCCGGTTGGCGGTGCGACTCGGCGCGCCACCCGTGCGTGCGGGCATCAGTGGTGCTCACAAGAGCCTCGATCACCGTCGTGTTCAGACGTGTCGATTACGGTTTAAGTTACAGAGTGTGATATACTTATATATAATAAAGACAGTATTCAGAGTGTACAAAGACCAAGATTGTTGTGTTCCCTGCTCATCTCACCACATTTCAAGTCGTCCCTGATTATATTTCCAATATAATTTATTCACAAAACAATTAAAACTATATTGCAACTTATATATTGCACAATAAAATAAACCTTAATTCTATATCCTTTAGAGTACGAGAATGAAACAAAACTTATTTTTTTTAAACATAGCTCACATTTGAAAAGCAGTACGTACGCCCGTTCTTTCTTGTTTAAAACAAAACATAAAACAAAATCCTATTATTAATTAACGTAAAATACACTTATAAGAAAAAATTATTTTGGTATGATTGCACTCTACCTTACAACATTGTGAAAAACTAACAATAGTTTCAGATTAGCTTGCATACAGTCTTTTGTACGTAGTACATAATGCTTAACATATACATATAATACCGTTACATTAAAAACGAATCTTTCAAAGTATGGCCGACAAATGTCTCCGATTGAATATTAAAAGTTATAGGCAATCCTAAATGTTCATATATTTAGAATAAGATGTAAATTTGTTTACGACATATATACTTTGTAGACCGTTGAAATTTCTTCTTTGCAAATCGGACATTTTTTAACATAATCATTCTCGCGCATAATATGATTAGCACATTCTTCACAACAACAGATATGACCGCACGGTATGAAAACTTGATTCGCTTCAGCATCAATGCAAGCAGTGCACGTACGGTCAGATCTCTTCGTTTCTCGATTTTCTTCGCACGTTTCCAGAGAATGTCTTTCGACTTTGTGATAGGGTACACAGTCGCTTTCTAAGGTACTTTCTTGATCTTCGTACCAATATCCAAAATCATCTTCTGGAATGTTATAAATGCGTTCTGAAAAATTTCGAAACGATGTGTTATACTATATAACAATCAAACTATATTTTTAGTGTTCTTACTGTTTACTAAAAATATGTCATATATCTAACTTATACCTTCGCCAAATTCATTATTAGATTGTGATAAATTGGAAATGTTATTTGTATTTTGTGTGTCTTCCGTTGTAATTATCGGATTAGCTGAAGTAAAATTTCTTGTGTTGTTGATTGTGACATCCATATCAGTTGCATTTTCGGAAGTGAATTGTTCGTCTTGTAACTGCTCATTTTTAACAGAATCTTGTCTTTGCACTAATGTAAGTAAATCTCCGGAAATGTTTGCATTTATATTACTGTTAGCAATTCTCAGAGCTACAAAATTGTTTTAAGAGATACGAATTAATAGTAGAGTAATATATAAATATAATACTCGTGATGTAATATTAATTAAAATACATACGTTCCTCCGATGTAGAATTGCAACTTTCTGACAGAAAATCGGTACAAATTTCATAATTATCGTTTTCACTGGTTATAATTTCTGTAATGCAAGAGTCTTGGTTAAAAAATCCAATTGAATTAGATGAAAGAAGTCAATATATAATCATATCGCTTTTAAAAATAAAAAATATATTAAAATCACAAATATCAGATTGTTCATAAAATATTCTAGGTAAGTTTATTGTAAGTTATCGCTTTAATAAATCATATTTCTATTCATAAAAATGTATGTATTTAGTTCGTTAATATTTTATTTATAAAGTTACTAATATTCTACATAATTTTTATAGAAAAGTATATATATTTTAAAAAATATGTAATTTTTTAAGTACGACTAGTACTAACGTACATATAATAAAGATAAAAAAAATAGAATACTTTTGCGTCAGTAGAAACGTATACCTCTGATTAATGCGATAGTTTTTTTACAATAAACTTATATTTTATTGAGGATATAAAATGATATTTATTAGTAAAAATATTTGAATGCTTTAACTTCTTTTTGTGTGATTCTATCGAACATCAAAATCAAAAAAATTTATGTTTTATACACGTTTGTAATATATTTCTGAATTTCAAAAAATAATTACCTTCGTCAGTCATGTCCAAATTATATAAATAAGTTTCATGAAAGTGACTAAATGATTCTAAAAACCCTAACAGGTGGTAATCTGTAAGAAATAAATAATTATTTTTAGATATTAGCATTAACATACAATTAACTGTAGAAACTAATTTTTCATAGATTTAGTTGCAATTTTCTGTAACTGATATATTACCTATTTTCTACAAGATCTTTCTGTTTCTGCAGTATTATATTATTTCTTTCTCTATTAGCTCGAGTTTGAGGTCTACGTGCCTGAAGATTATTTTGTAAGCGACGAAGATCAATTTCTTGATCAATAATTACTTTTTTCAAATTTTCTGTAACATAAAGTAAATAAAGTAGATATATTATTTCTAATTTACTACTATTATAACATAAAATACTCACCAATAAATATCCATACATTTGGATGTCTACTCCCGAATTTCTTTGAAATCGTGTTATGAAAACTCTCAACAATATTATTTGTACGAACAGGACAGCCATATACAGAGACTTTATTTGCTGCGGGCAACCATGTTTTACGTAAATAAGACATAAATTGTAATATCATAGGGTAGTCACCAGATATGGTATCAGATATGGTATCAGCTATATATTGTAATAGTGTAAAGCTTTGTTCAAATAAACTGGCTGGTATTAATGGTATAGACATAACCATCGTTATTAATCTTCTTGGGGCATTTTTCAAACCAAGTTGCCGCCATTTGCGCAGCACAGCCTTCGAGTTTAAAAAAAGGAGCAAGTTTTAAAAATTTAATAAATAAGAATCCTCACATGAATAAATAATATAACTCAGTAAAAATAATAAATTATTTTAAATTGACTTACTTGGTTGTAATGAAACCAGCATCCTTTCAAACTGGCTTTGGGGAAACATTTATGAAGGACTTTATTTGTTGCGCGTTCATAATCCCCCATTATAAATTTGACATTATTTTTTACGTCTGGAACAATTTCAATTATTTTCTCCCATATTGCTTGATAAAGAGCAAATGTTCGTTTCTCACATAATATAAAGAAAACAGCAATACCCTATTATCAAAAATCATGACAAGTTAAAATAAAATCGATAGATCCAGATGTATGTACATAAAATAAAATCGAGCAGTTAAAATTTGTTTGTGTTCGTTTTTATGTATTTAAATTAGCTGTTTTATTTTATGTACATCTGCCTTTATTCATAAGAAAAATATGTAATAAAAATGTATAACATACTGTATTTTTATAACGTATGTGTACAGTATATAATTGAATCATGTACGGATGGCGGGGGACAACCTGTAAATGATAAATAACTTAAAACTCTATAATAATATAATATAATAAAATTTAAATATGAAAAATAATAAAATTTTTCTTTTATTATATAAGCGATTATCTTAGAAATATTATTAACGAATATAAAAGTATTAATGCATTCAAAAATAAAAAAAAATATTTTTTTTTAAAGAAGCACCTTACCGAAAATGTTCCATCAACAAAAATTTCTGTAGCTGTTTTCAAGGCATTAATAAGTACATCGTTCGAAAATATAGCAGCCATGCTACCATCCTGTGCAACTACACTTCCTTTATAAAACTCTTTAATCCATTCATATTTAATTAAAGCAGCACATAAGGCTTGAAAGGTACATGGTATAGGAGGTCTTTGTTTAGCTCGTTCTCGAGCCATTACACTTTTCATAGAATTAAATGATGCGCCACTGTGTCCGATCGGCACTGTGTCCGATCCGCACTGTGTCCGATCCGCACTGTGTCCGATTGTTACTGTGTCCGATCGACACTGTGTCCGATCCGCACTGTGTCCGATCTGCACTGTGTCCGATTGCAACCACCGTGTGTCCGATCGACACTGTGTCCGATCCGCCCTGTGTCCGATCTGCACTGTGTCCGATTGCAACCACCGTGTGTCCGTTTCCTACTGTGTCCGATCGACACTGTGTCCGATCCGCACTGTGTCCGATCCGCACTGTGTCCG